GATTATATATAAGTTAGGCATTAATAAAAATGTTCGTCAGCTAGCTGTCGGTTTTGTCTACGAATAAATTTAAAACTGTTACAAAATCGAGGATAAGTCGTCGGAAACATGTAACTTACAAAAAAATAAATAAATCTTTTTTTCTTATTTATATTATGATAACTATTATCACAATAATGAATATACAATTCTAAGTATTTAATAAAATAATATTGATGTCAAACACCAATAAAATATTGAAATAAATAAAATGCATCTAAAATATGTATATCACTGTAAAAAAAAAAAAAACCCTCAAGTATACATAAACATAAAAAAAAAAGGAAAAACCACCTCCTAATCATTCTCCTTCATCTCGTCAACCACATTCTCATCGTCCCCCTCCGTTTCCTCCTCCAATGATGTCGTTGCCTTGCCACACTCCCTCTTCTTATGTCGGAGCCTTCAGCTTGACCTCCATGTTGGTCTCTAGCTATGACCTCATCTGAGAAAAGCGGGCTTCCATCTCGGCAGAGAATACTGCAAAATGCCTGGAGATCTCCTCATCCTATGCGACATAGGTATAAGTTGTAGATGCACTAATGGAGGGGTGAGCGTCGTAGGCAAATCTCAGCGACTCGAGCCCGTATAATTGACCCTTCTTTTTGCCCTCCAGCAACCTCACTCCACAAGTCGTACTCGGAAGGATCACACTCGTGGATCGTATTAGCTCTCAACAGTTGGGATCAATTCTCCTTTAGCTGCTGGAATCTATCCTAAAAAAAAGTAGTTACATTCAGTTAGAGCTAACATATATTAACATCAAAATTGTTTAGCTCGTTAATTACCTAAGTCACATGGGATCTGTCATCGATCCAATACTGTCGGACCACCTCTTGTAGGTGCACTCATGTTTATCAGAGACAGAAGGCTCTTGTCCAATCTCTAAAACCTATCCATAAAACGAAATAGTTAGAATACATGTTTGAACTACATAAACCTTAAAGAATAAATGAACTCTTACCAGGACCCTCATGTATTCCGTATGTGGGAGAACCCCACCAGTGTGTTAGGAGGGCTCTGTGCCTCCAAAGTCCAACTGCATGTTTTGCTTTGCTTGCTCCCTCTTCTTCTGGTAGTTCGAAGAATCTCAGTCCCTAAACAGTGTGACAAAAAAAACCCTCTCTGAGCCACAGAGAACGCTGCCACGACTTTCAGATATCGCCAAACATGTTCTAAAGGTGATCGTTTCCCATGTGCTTGAAGTTGTGCTAGATTTACAACTTGTTCTTAAAGCCCAGGAGAATTATTTCTATAAATACTATATATATTATGTTCAATTGATAAATAAATAAAAATAGCTTAAGTTATTTGTGAATAATATTTACCGCAAACCCCTGAAACCAAAGATTTTGAATTTCATTCCACGACAAGTATGCTGAGTCATACTTGCTTCAAATGATATCCCAAATGACAAAAATAGTCTAGGTCAGGGTATAAACTTAAAATAACAATTTGTTAGTTTTATATTCAATTTTAAAAATAAAAAGAATACCGACAATATCTTAAAAAAAACTTACATGTTGTGATAGGCTCGATGCGGTATTTGCTACATGTCGACTTCTGCCCGATTGAGGCAGCGCAAACCTCTGATTCCCTGGAGGTAGGGGGGAGGCAGGGCTCGGGGTCGGGTTGGCTTAATAGTGGGGGTGTTGGCGGAGGCGGGGGTAGGGGTGAGTGT